GAGCCTCGACGTCTCACATACCTATGGACCTCCGCAGCCTGTTACAGGGATACCTTTACCTTTTTACCACATTCTTATTGACTAGTATTACTTGACAATGTTGTTTCAACTGGCGAGGTTATATCGAATGAGAAGGGTAAATAAACCAGTGGTGTGTATGGATTTGGAAGGAGACGATTATTTCAGGTGCTACCGCAACATACGCCAGAAGGAACTCAGAGAAGTGATGAGAAACGAAAAATGTGCCTGTAGAGTACACGTCTAGAGCGTTGCTGTTACACCAGTCTGCAGGGTCCGTCTCTCTGTATGTTTCTGCTACAGTGGAGAAGCGATAGAGGGGGGGCGTAACGGATTGCATGCTACATGTGAGCGTAACTCAACCGCAGTCATGTGTGTAATCATGCGACACGACGCTCTTACTGACGCGCTCATCAACGGGATCGAGGTGTGACTTCTAGAATTACGTTACAGTGTACTTCAGTTTTCGAAATGAGTTGTCTACAATTTACACTTAGTGCTGATACAACTCCTGTAGCTTTGCATGTTTACAAATGTGAACCTTAAAGTATACAAAACCATAATTTTGTCTCTTATATGGATGTGGGAGCCGGGATAGCGCAGTTGGTATAGGGCTACGGGCTGAACGGCCGAAGGGTCCAAGTTCTAGTCCCGGCAAGGGCAAGATTTTTCTCCTCTCCATGTATTGCAGATCGGCTTTTGGGCCCCCACCCGGCCTCCTATCCAATGGGGGGGGGACAGTATTCATCTAGTTGGAGGAGTGGGACCGATGGCTGTTCATTGTGGAACTTACTTACTTACTTACTCATGGAGCTGAGCCCTTCTGAGGGAGCCGCCAATTCTGCAGCTACTCAACAATTTCCCAGCATTTTATGGAACCCGAAGGTTCATTACCGTGTTCACAAGAGCCCTCCACTGGTCCCTATCCTGAGCCAGATCTAGCCAATCCATACCATCCCATCCTATCTCTCTAAGAGCCATTCTAATATTGTCCACCCACCTACGCCTTGGTCTTCCCTGTGGTCTCTTTCCTTCTGGCTTTCCCACCAATATCCTATACGCATTCCTCGTCTCCCCCATTCGTGCTACATGACCTGCCCACCTCATCCTCCTTGACTTGATCAATCTAATTATAGTTGGAGAAGAGTACAAGTTATGAAGGTCCTCATTATGCAGTTTTCTCCAACTTCCTGTGAATTCATCTCTCTTTGGTCCAAATATTCTCCTCAACACCCTGTTCTCAAACACCCTCAGTCTATGTTCCTCCCTTAATGTCAGAGACCAAGTTTCACACCCATACAGAACCACAGGCAAAATTATAGTTTTGTATATTCTAATTTTTATGTTTTTGGACAACAGACGAGAAGACAAAAGGTTCTGGACTGAATGGTAGCAAGCATTACCGAGTTCAGTCTCCTCTTAATTTCCTCCTGAATCAGGTTTCGATCTGTTATCGTTCATTGTGGAAATGGTAATTAATTAGTCTCATGAAATATGAGGGATTTCTTTGACTAGCTGAGCAGTAACCAGCTTCTTGAGAAGAAATGCGCCCTTACTAGTCATGTAGGATGTACACGTATATCTGAAATAAAGGAATGCAGAATCCCATGGAAGTCTTTTGAGTCATATCGTAGCTTGCAGCTGGACATGCGGGTGAACTGACATAACTTCCTCCATGTGGACACGCTCCTTGCGATTTTGAGAAGCTCGGCTTGTCAAGTAACCTTCCGATCTTTATGAAAATCGTAGGTTTGTTACCATGTTCCCAAGGCTCGCATCTTGAGCCACATGGAACCAGTTAACTGCCTCTCAGAGACAGAAAAAGTATGAAGTCATTGTTCTTATTTAAACAATACGCCACGAGGACTTCCACACTACACGGAGTTGAATGAGCAGCTTCACATCCCGGGCTCTTCATCCCCAGGAGGCTGAGTTGGGCCCCAGAGTTGGTCTGGACGTAATGGTAAGGGTAAAGCTGTTCCTGTGCTTAACCAATTAAACACTACGCCATGAAGGCGTATAGGGAATGGATGTATAGATCTACTTTTTTTGTCTTCGGAACTAGTTGGAAGGGACTAGTCAGCTTCACGCCCCTGCCTCTTTACCCTCGGGGAAAGAGCCCCCGGTACCCATTGGATAGGAGGCTGGGTGGGCTTCAGATCCGGTCTGGACGACGTGGAGAAGAGAAAATTCTTGCCCCCACAGTGACTCGAATTCCGACCCCTTGGTTGTCCAGCCCGTAGCCAGTCGGCTGGTCTGGACGATGTGGAGGAAAATATTATGCCCAAGCCAGGAATTGAACCCCAGTTCCTCGGTCGTTCAGTGTGTAGCCCAGTCACTATACCGAATCAGTTATGTTACCACCGTGTTAGTAAATGTGCAGTGTTTACTATTGTATAATGTCTGTCGAAACGTCTCCCAGGGCACGTGATACCTTGAGTAGACAACCTTACGGGAAGAAAAGTTCTGTGTGAAGAATTGTGTCTTCTGGGATATAACGCCGTGTAATCCATTGAAAGTCAACCGACGTTTCGGAGGAACATTTCAGAGCCAAGCTCTCTTTGTCACCTGCGTTCACGCTAGTTTCTTCCTCAACCCTGAAAATGGAGGCGAAATGTTCCTCCGAAACGTCGGTTGACTTTGAACAGGCTACACGGCATTATATCGCATAATATAGAGGTCTTCTTAACTATAGTTCCGTGTTTGAGATCTCCGGTAATGGTGATTTTGGTTCCAGTCGTATGTAGAAAATAAAATCTAGTAACTTTCTGTTGATGGTGTAAGGATCTGCGTCACTGTTTGATGATGACGCAGCCTCAGAGATGTTTTAGACACGCAATATGATGATCAGCGGTCTTCTGAAATCCTTAGCTGTAAATTGCGAAACATACAGGCATACGTAGATGGCATCTCAATTGATTGACCTATGGTTGTATACTTCTGTCATTGCCCTGACCTATAAAAAAAAGGTAAAGCTATCCCTGTAACAGGCCGTGGAGGCCCAGAGGGTTGTGAGCCGTCGAGGCTCCGACATTTTCTACACAGTTGGCTCACAGCTGACGGTGAGGCTCTCAGCCTTACGCGCCCGCCGACCGCCCTTTACCCCCAGGAAAATTTCTGGTACTCATTTCTGTCGACCAGAGAATAATATTGCTATTGGATGGATTAGATTAATTGAAAGACTCCAAATGGCCTCATTGGGGACTGAACCTGCGAACGTTCGGCTTGTAGCATAAGTGCTTTGACCAACTACGCTACCGCGTGCCCCAGTGTCCTAACCTATAAAAAAACTCCGTAGTTTTAGTCCCCAAGCGAACTATATCGAGCGACCGCCGCTTGTCAGCGAAGTTAGTGCCAACTTTAGCGGATAGAGGGTGTCGCGTGGTCAGCGCAACGAATCCCCCACGGCCTTTAATTTCGGTTTGGTAGACCGGAGCCGCTATTTCCTTGAAATAGCTCCTCAATTGTCATCACGAGGCGGAGTGAACCCCGTTCCAGACCCACTACTTCTTCTCAGAAAATCTGGTAGCGTCGAGAATCGAACTTGGGACCTCTGGATCCGTAGCCAGGAACTCTGACCACCAGACCACAGAGGCGGTCGATGCCCTGACCTATACAAGAAAGAAGCGACCTAAGATGGATGAGGTGACTGTACTACGACGGCGTATAGTAGGAGAGTGTGGAAATGAGATATTGCGTGCATCAGGAAACTATGCAGTGACAGAGAGCGAGAGGTCGTATCGATCGACGACTCACTGTTTTACGGTCCATTTCAAAACCATCCGTCCTCCACTATATCCCCACAGTGTGATGTGAACCTTGACATTACGGTCATGCATTTTCAGCTAATCGTCATCACCTGTCACTCTCTCTCTGTCTCCTTATTAGTGTAAAGCAGGGCCCTAATGAGCACCTAACCGACATTTCCTGTCAACAGGGGTGCAGCAGAGACACTCCTCAACTGAAAAGTTCTGCTTTATGGGCGATAATACCGTGTAGTACGGAAAACGCATAATGTTTCGGAGGAAGGCGTAACCGCTCATCTTCAGTGCCGAAGAAATCTGCTTGCCACGTACTTATTCGTGGTTGATCGCTTGGCATATACTTCGACTCTGTAGATGGAGCCGATATGTTCGTCTGGAACTTAGAGATTTTCCATACTACATGACGCAAAAACTAAAAAAGGCCATACTTTTCATAGTAACCACTGTGAGGATCTCAAATCCAGCAATTCCCCCCCTCCCAGATGATTTTCTAAACTTTTTTGTCAGTTCATGGAGATTATGTTGCATGCTGTCGATTGGCTAAGGCATATTTGATGTACTCAGCATTTTGCAAACCAAATCCATTTTCAAAAGAAAATTAATTCAATTAAATATTATGTCTAAAATATGAACATGTTTTCCAAAGCACAAGCTTGTAGGCGTATTAAATTATATACAGTCTTCATATCCCATGGACATATGAACAAAAATGTAAAAATGGAAAACAACAAAGCAGAACTTAATGTACTTCCAAAATATAAATAAAAAAATTATTTTCATAAGAAACCATTTTATTTTACAGAATAAGTAAAGTAAAGCAAAGGCATCCCTCTACCAGGCCGTGAAGGCCCATAGGGTTATGAGACGTTGAGGGTCCCACATTATCTAGACAATCGCATCACAAATGGCGGTAAGGTTGTTAGCCTTACGCGCCGGCCGCGCTTTACTGCGAAGGAAAGTTATTTAATTAATTCCTGGTACTCATTTCTATTAGAGGCTGAGTCGACCCCAGGGTCATATTGCGGCTGGAATGATTAGGTCAATTGAAAAAATCCAATGACCTCATCGGGACTTGAACCCGCGACCTTACGGCTTGTAGCATAGTGCCTCAACCAACTACGCTACCGTGTGCCCCCCATAGTCTGAAAATTTTGCTATTGTCCAGAAATGAAAAGTATGGAGCAAATTGATTAAACTTTCATGTTTTATGTCAAACAGGTTTTACCAGATCCGCACAGCTCTCCGCGTCTCGCCCAAGCTGCCCGTCAAGGTGGAGGTGAATTTGCCTCGTAACCAACGTGAGTATTCCATGCTGATTGCTGTAAAATAATCTAAAATTATTGCCTTCTCTGTTATTCAGATGTCCGTAGATGTCCACTGTCTACTGGAGATCCAAAATTTAGTTTATGTATATGAACCTAATGAAATAGAAAGTGATGAACATAAACAAACTGCAAACAAAACAAAAACCATGGCTTTAGTCCGCAAGCATACTATACCGACCGAGCGACCACCGCTTGTCGGCGAAGTTAGTAGCAACTTTAGCGGATAGATGGTGTCACATCAGCGCAACGGATCCCCACAGCCGTTAATTTCGGTTTTCTATGCCGGATCCGCTACTCTTCCATTGAAGTAGCTCCTCAATTATCCCCACGAGGCTGAGTGGTCCCCGTTCAAGACCCACTACTTCTCAGAAAATCTGGTAGCGCCGGGAAACGAACCTGGGACCTCTCGGTCTGTAGCCAGACAAACTGTAAAGCTGTACCTAAAGCTGTGGGCCTCAACCTTTTCAGGCGCACGGAGTAGTAAAGAAGGTGTGGGTCTTCTAAGTGCAAGTACTATTCTGTCTGTCTACATCATCATCATCATCATCATCACCGCCGGCGCCGCCACCGCCACCATAATCATCTATTCACATTCCGTAGATACTAACTCAGTTACAAAACCATGGATATGGAAATCGTCAAGAGAAAAGTCATAAAGTAATTTGAATATGTAATACGCAAAATCACAAATACATATAATCATAATTAAATCATGTGGTTACTATATGTAAAATCAGGCCTTTTTTTTTAATTCTCATAGTGGTGGGTGGAATCCAGCTAGGTCCACTCGGCACATCGGCCACTGAATGGCCTATTGTACCTACCCCGGGTGATTACGATTATGAAGACTGGCTGGGGAAACCGAAGTACTCGGAGAAAACCTGCCCTAGCGCCACTTTGTCCACCACAAATGCCACCTTGACCAGACCCGGGCTTGAACCCGCGCTGCCACAGTGGGAAGCCAGCGACTAACCGCTTGAGCCACCAAAATCAGGCATAGTAATTATTTTACTTAAAATTACAATCAAAGTATTCATCTAAGGAATAAAATGAATGGTTTGAATAGTCTCACTTCATTGATTAGGCTTTTTATATTAGGTGGAAGATGACTAAAAACTCTATAGTATGCCCCCCTTCGATAAACTGCTAAACTTGATTTCGTAGGTGTAAATTCCTAATATATGTAGTATTTATGCTCTGAACCTCTTGATTGGCTTCATATTGGAGTTTATTTTTAATAACAAATAATGATAAAGTATATATATATATATATATATATTGTGAATGTAGAGGTAAGATTTTTAGGTCTTTAAACAGTTTCCTACAAGAATCTCTAGTTTTGTACAATAAAGATAATAATTTACACATGTAATAATTTGCAGTATAAAAATTAACATCTTCAATTCCATGGAACAGAGCCCTTCTGCAAAACTGATTGCCACATAGCAGAAATTCCCCACCCTTTATGGAACCCAAAGGTTCATACTATGTTCACAAGAGCGCATCACTTGTCCATATCCTGAACAAAAGAATCTGCCCAAATTTGAGATTCCGTGTTTAACATTTCATAACACACAAAGTTTTTATAGTGATGAGTTGTTTGCCCTTGCCCAACCCCCATGTTGGAAGACTGCTTCTTATCAGTTGTCCACCACTTCATATACCCTATATTTGCAGCCACACTCTGTATCTTTAAGCTGTCTCCTCGATCCACAATCTGAGGATTCATGTCTCATGGTGAAAAGGGGCAGATATAACATTTTTTATGTGGCATTAAAATTAAAACTTAGTTTTGCCACAAGTTACCTATCAGTTTGTAACAGAAACAGTGACCTCTCTAGTGAGACTGTGCAAAGGAAGTAGGAATCCTCTCCACAGGGCCATGTAAGTCTGTGCACACTGCCCTCTTCAGGGCACCACGCCCGCCATCTCTGGACACTCAAACTGAAACCTTTCCTTCATTTCATGTCCTTCCTCTGCTGTCTTTAGGCTTCGGTACCACCCTCCTTGGTTCTCTGCCACAACATGTACAACTTCTCTCTCCTGTGTTCCCATTTCTGTACTGGCGCTCTTGAAAGGCCCAAACCTCGTCACTCTTCTCCTGCCGCCTGTTGAGTAACCTTGGTTCAAGCCTGTGGGAACTGATGTGGTGGCTTCCAGAGTTTCTTCTGGTTCTAGATGGAATCCCATGCTTTGCTTGTTGGCTGCTTCATGCTGGTTTCTTGTTTGGCTTAGTCTTCAACCCTGAAGATGGCTGCTACACATTCCTTGGAAACATCAGTTGACTTTCAGTGACTTTCCCGGAAGACAGAAGTCTTTATAACCACTGCTGTGAGAACTGCAAATACCCTCCCTCTCCCCTCTCTCCAAACTGAAGTTTCTGGCTGTAAGATAATTTTTCCTGTTATAGAAAAATGTATAATATAATCTTAATTCGTATTGTTGAATTGAAATAAATTAAGAGTTCTGTCTTCTGGGATATGATGCCATGTAGTCCTTTGAAAGTTGCCGACATTTTGGAGGAACGTCAGTAGATTTTCAGCATACTACACAGCGTTACATCCCAGAAGACAGAACTCTTTGAAACCACCTGTGTGAGAATCTCAAATCCTTTCTTTCCTCCAGGGCCTTTAGTCCACAAGAGAACTATACTGACTGAGGGACTGTCGTTTGTCGGCAGATAGAGGATGTCGCGTGGTCAGTGCAAGAGATTCCCACAGCCGTTAATCTCGGTTCTCTATACCAGAACCTCAAATCCTACTTGGAATAAATTAAGCCGCAGAATGCGTGTGTCCACAGACCACCAGTTGAGAAACCCTGCTATGAAAGATTGAAAGCCTGACATTACTGAAGGTTATTGTCTTCTGGGATGTGACAGTGTATAGTCTGGTAGATACTTGCAGATGTTTTAGAGGTAACTGTTACCGCCATCTCGTACCGTTAACATGAAGGCAGGAGGTTCTTACAAAACAATGGTACATATCTACTGGACTACACAACATTAACACCACAGAAACAAATCTTTGCAGTCCTGCCATTGAAACCTCAGACCCTTCACTGAGATTACTGTTTTGTTTCAGGATCAGAGTTAGCATTTCCAGCATGTGTGGTGAATGGAACAGGCGTGAGTAAGACATTCCAGATCCTGTACCGCAACGAGGAAGTGCTCCTGGACGACGTCATCATGTTTCGAGCACACATTCTAGTCGATAGTCATAAGGTGAACTGCAAAGTGTTTATGAGGTATCTCAGTTGGTATAGTGATGGGCTACAGGCTGGACAGCTCGGGTTCGATTCCTAGCTGGGATTATAACAATATGGATAAAAATTAAATTTTTTCAACTACTGATAGTTGGCTAGAACCTGGGTAGCACAGTTGGTATAGTAACTGGCTACAGGCTGGACGACCCTGAAGGTGGAGTTTGAATCCTTGTAGGGACAAGAATTTTCTCTTCTCCATGTCATCCAGGCCGACTCTGAGGCCCACCCATGTCGTTGTACTTTTCTCAGGGGTAACGCGCCCAGCGCGTGAAGCTGACCACTCACTTCCAACTAGTGCTGAGGTGAGAAAATGTGGATCTATGCATCCACTCCGTTGTACTCCCTCATGGCATAGTGCTTAATTACTTATGCACAGGGACAGTTCTACCTTTACTGATACTGGACTTGTGATAGTGGAATTCTTTCAAAATCCAATCAGTAGTTTTGGAGATGAAGCATGACAAATAGCCAGACATGAAAAACACGAACAAAATACATTTAGGTGGGTAGCACTTCTGCTTTGTGTTCAAGAGGTGCCAGGTTTGTATCTTAAGCTGAGATTTTTGTGGTATTTCTCCATCCTCTAGGCATCTCTCAGGATAGTACCTCAGATTTTTCATTGTTATATGGTATTTGCAGTTGAAACAGCATTATTGCTAGACTAAGTCAGTCAGTCTTATCTAATTGCTTTCTGTCATCTCACTCCTGTGTTTTCATATCTAATCATTCTACATTATTTCGTTTCACACTACTTTATTTCATTGATTGATACAGCATCATAAAATTACTGCATAACAAACCAATTAAAAAGTCTGTTATTATAATTTCAGATTGAGGATACTCTCGAGCGAGCAGATTTTGCACTAATGATAGAGCTGTGGTTTACGGATCAAACGTTCGGTCCAGACCAGCACAGCACCATCTCCTGTGTCTCAAGTCGAACGCTGCAGCTTCACTTCTCCCCCACCAGAGGTCTTCACTATCACCTGCCCGTCCTATTTGATTACTTCCACTTGGCTGCCATAACACTGACCATCCATGCTAGCCTTGTCGCCTTGCACCAGCCCTACATCAAGTGAGTGAAACCTGTACATTATATGACAGAGTTTACCATTTGATCTTGTCTGTCTCAGGTAGCTGATACTCAGGTCCCCTAATGGCCATCTTACAACCAGATCCAGGTTACAACGAATTCTCTATAGGCCTTTGTGATATCACTTAAAGGAGGTGATAGAACCAAGCCTCGGGAAGTTATTTATAAATCTATGTCGATAGCCTGAACAGATTTTGTGTAAGATTTAAGGTTCCCACAGTGGTGACCATGAAATGGACTGTCTTAAGGATGTGATGCTGTATAGTCTGGTAGAAGTTTAGCAACATTTCAGAAGACTGGACTGCCTGCATCTTCACAATCAAAAAGTAAGTCAAGCAAGGAACAAGCACCACTCTACTTTTTGTTTGCTTGTTCAGGTTACTTTTCTACCCTTAAGACAGGCAGTCTGCTTCTCCAAAAGGTAGGTAAACTCTACCAGACTACATGGTGTCACATGTCATAAGACACTTCTCTTCATGGCCATCACTGAGACCTTCAAATGATAACTCCCATTGGCCCGTATAAAACAGAAACAATGCTGCTGATCTAAGAAGAAGTGATAACTACACGCCTTCTTCTCCTTTATTGCATGTTTCTTTCTTCTTATTTGTTATCCTTTCCTATCTTCTTCCACATATCACTGAGCACCTCCTACTGCTTTGTGTAAGCCCTTGCACAAAGGGCACCAATCCTGTAGCCACTGAAATCCAACCACTTAAGGGTCTTTTGAGAGTATCACCATGTTTAGCATAGAAATTGAAAGGCTTGGTGGAACAAGGGCTTATATTAAGATGTGTAGCTTTTACACAGATTGTCAGACGATACAGGCTGAAGAAAAAATAATGTTTACACTTAAATTTCCAGGAATTTAGATATCAATGAAAATGTGTGCTAAAGAGGATAATGCAACCTTTTCCAGCTAAAGGAACTGATCTTGTTTCTCATCCTGTGAGATGACACTGTCTCCTGGCATTTCTGAGAACCTGACTGCCTCTATCATGGAGAAGTGACTAAATTTCACCCTGGCACCAATATCTTGTACCATGTGAGATCTGAGATTCTCACTGTGGTGACAATGAAGATTATATAGTCTCCTTGATTGACAGCATGTAGTTCAGTAGGTTGTTACCGACATTTTGGATGAATGTGCCCCCTCCATCTTTAGGCTAGAAGATTGAGCCAAGTACAGGAAAAAATGGTACACATCTGGGGGGGACGGGGAGCCCTGAGCTGGCTGAACTGATTCCAATCCTCCTCTCCATATATTTGTCAAAGGTAAAGTTGTCCCTGTGCTTAATTAATTAAGTACCATGCCATGAAGACGTTTGGGGGAGTGGATGTATAGATCCACATTTTCTTGACCTGGGCACTAGGTGGAGGTGAGTGGTCACAGGCCAGCTGCTTTACCCCTAGGGAGAGAGCCTCTGGTACCCATTAGATAGGAGGTTCTGTGAGCCCCAGAACCGATCTGGACAATGTGGAAAGAAGAAAAATCTTGCCCTTACTGGGACTTGAACTCTGACCCCTCAGCTGTCCAGCCCATAGCCAGTCACTGTAGTGACGGTGCTATCCCTGTATCATTTTTACCTGTGCTTGGCTTACTCCTGTAACCTGAATATGGGGGCAGTACGGCCCTCTGAAACACTGGTAATGATCCACCGTCACTGCATGGCTGCACATCCCAGAAGAAAGTAATCTTTATAGCACCAGACCACAGAGTAGTAAGGAACTCTGTGCTGTGATTGGTCAGCATGTGGCCAAGGAGGTTGAAGGTCAGAACTTAGTTCCATTTTTGGCTCTCAGAAGCCAGTTGTTATGTAATCATGTTACAGCTGTATTTTTACCTGTTTTCCTCCAAGTCCTTTCACTTGTTTTACCAGTTGTGTTTATGGTAAGCGGCATGTCAAAGCAGCAGCAGCAAACATCTTTCTGCAGACAAATGTACCAATAGTAATACTGTATCAGACATATGGCTTGTGAAATTTGCAACAAAAATTGAATTATTCTTATACTAAATTACTTGTATTATCCTGTTTTAATGCTATGGATGACAGAACATTGTAAAATACAACTTTTGTGTTACATTGTCTCTTGCTGTATATCATGTGCTCTACATGTTTCAGCCTATCTGGCCTTCTTCAGTGTGTCCAGTTATATTTGAATATAAGGAGTATTCTGTATATGCATGTATGTGATTGATATTTTAGAATGTAGACCCGTTGCTAGGTAATGGCTCTGGCAACACACATGAATGCAACACTTGCACTGCAACGGAGGAGCGGTGTTTTCTGCGTGGCCCATGCCAAGATATTATAAGCAGGACATGTTAGTGGAGAGAGTCAGTCAGTCAGTCAAGAGAGTCTGCAGGCAGTTGGTTGGTGAGTTAGTGAGTTAGTTAGATGACTGCTGGGTTACAGTCATTGTGAGCTATTGCTGTGAGATGCTGGTAGCTGAGGCCAGGGACTGTTTGCCATAGGAACCCACTACCAAGCAACGGCTAGTGAAGACTGTAACAGACTGAGAAGACTAAGTGTGTCCTGTATTGATTCGTGAAGTGTGTAGAACGTTGAGAGCATAATCCTTCCTTGTAGTTACGAGTTGTAAGACTTCAGAAATCCAATTACCAATTTAACCATGCCTGTAGTCACTCATACATGTGACAGTATTTCCTTTGCTTTCTTTCTTTTATATGTTTTATTTATTTACCTTGTCCCTGTACTTAAGTAATTAAGCATTATGCCATGAAGGCTTATTTATGAGTGGATGTAAAGATCAACATTTTCTCTTTATTTGCCATACAGCCTTAAAATAGTTTTCACTGGTACAGTATTTAGTATGTGCATCTTCCTTTTTGTTGAATTTAAATTTTTTGTAGAATATCAAGTTTACAGTCTTCTGGGATGGGACGCCTTGTAGTTTGATAGGTGGGTATCCATTACATCTCAGAAATCTGTAATCTTGGTTTTGGATACCCACCTACCAAACTACATGCTATCACATTTGAGAAGCTTATGGTTTTATTACTCAGTGCCATATGAATCTAAAATCCCTTTTAAAATTATATTTGGATATACTATACAGTGTCCTCTAATGTTGTGGTTTTTAGTTTAAAATTAATATTGTTGTCTATTCATATTTGTATGGCATATTACAAGGTATTACAGTTGTCTAAGTTACTGACAGTGTAATGAAATAAACCAGAACTGAATAAACACAACTTGTTATTGTATGCTATAAATTGTTCATTCAGTACATTCTGCTGTGTAATGTATGAATTGGGGAATGACAAAATGAAAATAAATGAATTTGATTTGTTTCATTCTGGTCCGTAACACTAATATTATGAAAACGTTAAATAGTTCCATTCAGTGTGACTGGTTAAGATTTTCTTATTTCAATTATTCACGCCCTACATATTTCAGTCTTCAGAGACCATCTTCAGAGGGACACCTTTACATGAATACAGTTAGAAGCCAGTATTACAGTACAAGTTCTAAAAGTTAAAACATATAAATACAGTATAAATAATATACAATTGGCTGTAAAATCTAAAGTCTTTACAACTACAGCGGCTGTTCCAATACTTTACAATATATTGGACTTCGTAAACCAAGCTGGTTCATAAATATTGTAACACGAAAGTTATGTTTGATTGCATTCTGTCATTTGTAACATTACCTATAGTGTATAGAAGATTTATAGATCTTCTGTCCTCTTCAGATCCATGGTAATTGTGATGTATTTATAAAAATTATTATATTTCAACCATGACGATACCTGTCTGCAGAAGGAAATCAATTAATGTAATAACACTGTAGTTTATTGATTGGTACATGGAATAAACACAATAGACAATGGTTAATAGCACATTCCTCACTTTAATATTGTCATTAGGAGTACAGTATGTGTGTGCCTCAACATTCCTATTGGTATTTTTGGTGCAATATGAAGACACTCTGTTGTAAGGCACATATCCTAGTATTACAAGTTGTATGTGTTTGTGTTCTCTTCTGTTTCCGGCAGCTATTGTGTTTTCTTTGTGAAGTTTATACCTTCAGATATATTCCATGACATGTATGTATTTGTTTTGTGCATTCAGTTTGAATGGTAAATACTAGTGACACTGTTCAAAAGGATACAGTATTATAATAATTTTAGTTAGTTGAATTTGTATACGAGTACATCCTTTAAAGTCATGTTATGGCTTCTGTTTTTTTTATGCGTTATATCTAATTTATACATTTACACAGAGTTTTAGATTTTAATTCCCTCTGGAAGTGCCTTAAAAAGACATGATGTATAGATGGACAAAACCTTAATAATTATCATATACTAAGTTTCAAACATAACACCAGTGGCAGTTTCTCATGCAAATAGAGGCAGAGTTGCAAGGTGCAATGTTGTGAGATCTTCCACTTGAACTTCGCTCTCAGAAGTCTGACATACATGCTCAGTAGTGCATTCTTGTGACTTGATAACGGCAAACCCTAGACTTGTGTTTAGGAACTGATCAGTTTGAATCTTGGCCATGACATTGGGCATCTTGGCCAAGGTATTTCTTGGTTTTGCTCATTCCCTGCAGGTAAATGTCCCTAAACACTGACAAAGTCAAAAAAGCAAGTAATAGTAAATGTAAAACACCATCATCAGAACCCTTTCAAACTGGTTTATGTTCATCCCTGTTTTTCATTATCTCATCGATCACTGCTGTTGTCTCTTTGCTAAATCCGCAATCTAGATATGTGCATTGAAGTCAGCATAACAGCTTCAAATCTTACTCATTATAAAGGTAAGGTAAAGCTATCCCTGTAACAGTCTGTGGAGACCCAGTGAATTGTAAGCCATGGAGGCTTCAACATTTTCAAGACATTTGGCTCAAAGATGCCGGTGATGTCAGCCACATGTGTCAGCTGCCTTTTACCACTAGGAAGATTCCTGGTATTTATTTCTGTTAGAAGCTGAGTTGACCCCAGGTCTAATGCAGCTGGAAGGATTAAGTCAATTGAAAAATCCAATGACCTCATCAGAAATTGAACCCATGACCTTCTGTCTTCTAGGATAGTGCCTCAACCAATTACACTACTGTGTCTCCCATTTACATATTTGTACAACATTGAAATTCACCGGTATTGTACTATTGTGTACTAGATGATGGAATATTCAGAGTTGAAATTGTATGAGAAATATAGAAAGAGTATGTCTGACAACTAAGAAGATGTGTAATGTCATCTGTTGGCTACTATTCTGATTGAAAATTGATTACAATAATAGAACAGTTCATTATGAACAGGTTTATTAAAGATTTGATTATGGTAGTATCAATGATAGATTTTAAACACTGTGTGGAATAATGTGAAACCTTTCAGGTGTATCAAAATGTTCATGCTATGAAGTTTTGTGTGTTTGTGTGTGAGGCTGGTAAGTGCTGAAGAGGCTACTTCTTATCACCCATTTTGTTGTCCCCTGAACAGGAAGTTGCCACACCCATCCCAATGCTGTTGCATAACCAATGTTTCATTTCTGAATGATTTTGCCCTCACTGCTGCTGCTGCTGCTGCTGCTGCTGTACTGCTACTAGTCTTTTCATTTGAGGCTTGCTAGAATGTCCATTTGAGTCTTTATAAAATGTAATGATGCAGTATTCATATACTTATTATATTCCATTTACTATCTGGATTTTATTTAAAAAATATAACAGTTTTCTTTTCTCAGTACAAGAAAAAAATGCAATTTGGTTAGATGCGAACATTTTAACATTCAGACTATGATGTATTTTATGTGGTCATGAAGTATGATATCTTACTTTGAGGAAAGAATGCAGATTGCAAGTGTTTGGAAAGAGATCACTTAGGAAAATATTTAATTATAAGAGGGATTAAGTAAATGGATAGTTTAGGATGTTACATAATCAAGAATGTGTGGCTGCACCATAGCTCATGTGGATAGTCGCTGGATTCCCACCGCAGCAGCCCGGGTTCGATCCCAGGCCTGGTCAAGTGGTATTTGTGGTGGACAAAGTGGCGCTGGGGCAGGTTTTCTCCGAGTACTTCAGTTTCCCCTGCCAATCTTTATTCCACCAATTGCTCCACAATCACCCTCACCTATCATCTGGGGCGGGTACAATAGGCCAGAAGTGGCCGCAGTACAAGGGACTTAGTCCCACCCCACTAGCAATAAAAAAATAATAATCAAGGATGTTGTGATTTATATAATATTACATCAGTATTGTCTGCGTAGTGAGATCAAAGAGGTTATATTGTACCATGAACGAAAGTTATGGTAGACCAAATTTTGGGTAATGGTATTTAGTAGAAACAGGGCTTGAGATGGGGCGGGATGGCATCCCGGTTCTTTTCTAAATGGCTTAAAAGCATCCCGTTACTTCTTTGGCAGTAAATGCAATGTACAATACCCAGGGCTTGAGGTGGGGCAGGATGCGGCAGGATGGCATCCCGGTTCTATTTTCATTCCACCTCAAGCACTGAGTAGAAACCTACATTTTTTGGGTGAAGAAACTGTATTGTAATAGACATCAGTACACATATTTCCTTCTTACCTTTCAGGCAAGGGAAAAAGTGCTTATTTTCATTCATATTTTCACCTCAGTAAGATTGATTATAACCTCAAAATTTAACCATAAGACTTGTGAAAAAAATGTATATGGCATGAAGTGTGTTTCAATGTTTATGTGGCCTTTGTTTTAAAAATTTTTACTCTGATATATATCTAATGAGCTGTGCTCAAAATGTGTGAAGAAATCATGTAGATCCTCACAAAAAAGTGTCTGAATTTAACAAAATTAAAATCGAACAACAAATATTAGCAACTCTTCCAAAGTCAAATTTTATGAGAACTTCTTTGCCACTTGTTGAGTTGTTGCTTATGGAAGGACAGGCATGTTAAGCTAATGTCTGCATTTTTGCAATTTTTTCGATCCTCGGTATAGAAATGTGGTGCCAAAATATGTATATGATTTATATATGATTTTGCTGAAACTAAAAAATATTGGTACAAAGAGGTTATAAAGAATTCCATGAAATAAAACTGAGTTTAACTGATGTAATCTCAAGAATATGTGGACTTGATACTGACAATTTCATTAAATAATCAGCAAAAGAAAAATAAATGGAATTTTGAACTGTATAACAATTTCTAGCAAGCCTCTGTGTAGCCAGAAGAGGGAGCCACTCATTGCTTTGTGTTTTCTCCCTGTTGCATGCTCAGGAAAAGTATTCTGCACTATGTGCAGAGTTGGTGAGTCAGTCACAAATTGTGTCAATGTGCCATGCTTCTATTCTTGTCTCTTCTGCTCTTAGACTCTTGATAGCGTATGTCTTGCAGGTATAACACAGTTTTCCATGTTATTTTAAAACTGCATACAATCAGTTATATTCCTATAATATTCGTATGACACAGACTTAAGTAAAACAAAGGGCCGTGCCATAGCTCAAGCAGTCAGTCGCTGGGTTCCCACCGTGGTGGCCTGGGTTCGATGCCGGGTCTGGTCAAGTGGGATTTGTGGTGGACAAAGTGCCGCTGGGCCAAGTTCATTCCACCAATTGCTCCACAATCACCCTCACCTATCTGAGGCCGGTACAATAGGTCAGAAGTGGCCGCAGTACAAGGGACTTAGTCCCTCCCCACTTACTTACTTACTTACTTACTCATGGAGCTGAACCCTTCTGCAGGAGCCGCCAATTCTGCAGCTAATCAAGAATTTCCCAGCATTTTATGGAACCCGAAGGTTCATTACCTTGTTCACAAGAGCCATCCACTGGTCCCTATCCTGAGCCAGATCTATACAATCCATACCATCCCATTATATCTCTCTAAGATCCATTGTAATATTGTCCACCCGCCTACGCCTTGGTCTTCCCTGTGGTCTCTTTCCTTCTGGCTTTACCACCAATATCTTATACGCGTTCCTCGTCTCCCCCATTCGTGCTACATGACCTGCCCACCTCATCCTCCTTGACTTGATCATTCTAATTATACTTGGAGTAGAGTACAAGTTAGTCCCGCCCCACTAGTAATAAAAACATAAGTAAAACGAAACAGTAATATGTGTTCATTCTTCTCAGTTAATCCAGGTAACCAAGAAGATTCATGAAACTATAATTCTCTTGACTTACATTTGGGAATTATGTGTTTCAAATCCCATTTGGGTTTCTGACTCTACGAAACTGTTTGGTGGTTTCATCAGTTTCTCCAGGCAACTGTCAGGATAGCACCTCGAAACAGGCCTTGGCCCCATCTCAAATCCTTATTATTCATCTGTGATTAGCTTTCATTCTCATATGACACTGCTGTTGAAACCGATATGTTAAATAACATAAGAGTGGTTTCATTCTTAAGTACTGATCACAGCAGTCCTCAGATCTAGCCCCTACAGTTTTCATAAATTCTACAAAACAGAAATGGCCAAGATTAAAATGTTCGGTTCATTAATAAAGAATTAATAACTCCAGCCCTTCTAAATGATACATCTGGCTTTTATATCTCCCAGGATAGACTGATATTTTCACAAAGTTTTATCTCTGTGNTATATATATATATATATATATATATATATACATGTTGTTAACTGAAGATGGCTGATTCTGGTGCATTGCTAGCCATATAATCTTATGTAACATTGCTTTGAAATATGTTTTTGGCAACAGATTCTTGCATTGTGGCTAATATTGTCAGTCTAAAAAATCTTCAGGAGTATGTCATGCCTTGAGGAAACAAGAAAAATCCTGTTCCTCCTAAGAGAGACTACCTTATGATAATTCAGCCTCAGAGATGTTTTAGGTACAGTTTTTTCACTTGTGGACTCTTTGATATTCCTAGCCTTTGCCTATTTTGGAAGTAGTGGATGAGTCTATATTCTGGGGTAGGAATACTTATGAGACTGACTCCACTGCTTCTGTTGGTAAGATGAAGAGAGTAATGGCTGACAAAGAGAATGTATGGCTCAGCGTAGATTTGAGACCATAATTGTGGTTGATATCCTTCAAATTCCTGTGGTCATACCTTTATCACTTGGCGGGTTCCAGAAATATGATTATGCACTTGCTATGAATGTGTTAACAGAGGCCAGTGCCAATTACCTTTTCAGCCTTGGTCAGAAATTTAAATTTATTATAGAATCATAATCACATTGTGCATGATTCAGGAAGAAAAATAGTACATTGCTTTTGTTCTCTTATTACAGCGTTACAGGTTCAGTAGATTTAAATAACCAAAGACTTAATCATAACATAGACGTAAGCTGTTTGATAAGACTCTGCTGCAGAGTCACTGAACTCCAGGAAAGAACTGGAATGCATTCTTGTTAACATTTCTGAAGTTGTCATTATATTGCTGGTGTCTTTGTATCTGAAATGAAGACATAATCACTGTTTATGCTTTATCATTGGTTCCCTGTGGTTATTTAAAAATGTTCAAAATGCAGCTCTCCCTCATGAATTGAAAATTTCGAAGTATGTGCAATTTTCCATTTATATCCAAGTTTTAACAATCACTGCATTTGATTTGTGTACACAGAACAACTAGTAATCTTTGCACTGAAGAGCCACATTTGCTGGAGGCAGGGCTGTAATGACATCTGAAATCAGTTTTTCAACTTCCAAATTACCATTACAGTGCATTTTTTGTCCTCCTTTTTATATTGGTCATGACACCAGCTGTCTTGATTCATTTCTTTTTGTCTGTTCCTGCAGGTGAATTCCAGAATAATACCTCATGGTAGGTCACTATTGCAGGGGAAACTTCTGTGGAAATTAGAGACTGAATGTAGAGGCAGAATCTATAAAATTTGAGTTTGAAGCTTTTATAATGGTTACTACAAAGAGTACTATTTTCTGGGATGTGATGTTGTGTAGTCTATTTGAAGTCTACTAACATTTAGTTAATGAAGATGTTACACAGCAAGATGCAGATAGCAAGCAGATCTTTGCTTGCTGACTGCTTCTTGCTAGTTTCTTGCTTGAATTATTCCCCAGAAAGTTTGATTTCAATCCATACTGACACAGTAAATCCTAGTTGCACTGAGTCACCAAAAAAAGCTTCAAATCTAGTGCAGACCAGTACTGCCTGTTTTTATGCCCCGTATATATGTTCCTGCAATATTTCTACTGTAGCATTTCATTGCTACATAATCCCAGGCATAAGAGAGCATTATTAAATAACTGAATAACTAACTACATAAAATATAATCTATATTAGCTGATGGAAATGTGTTAGAGATATAATTTTCTGTTCTTCTCTTTGTGAAAGAGTCACAGCTGCATTCTCTAGCAGTGACTGATCTGTGTTTCAGTACCCCACGTAGTGCCAAGCCTTGGCTTGGAGCATCACAAAGGCTCAATTTTCGCCATCCACAATCCACAATGGAGACTGTGTTCTTTGGAAACTTGGTGAGTATATGCATACAGTTCAGGAATGTGATATTAATATTTCACACAGTCACTGTGCCCACCGTGAGTCAGTCACTTCATTAATTAAGACTACTGGTAATGTAAGATTTGAGGTTTTCACCGCGGTGACTATGAAGAATGCTGTCTTCTGGGATGTGACACCATGTAGATCTTGTGTAAACCGGCGTTTCAGAGGAATGTATCGCCAACTGCTCATGCTGGTTCCTTGCTCGCGGACTTTTCTACCCTGAAGACGGAGGCGATACATTCCCCTGAAACGTTGGTTTACACAAGAGCTACATGGTGCCACATCCCAGAAGATGGCATTCTTCCTACTGCTGTCCTTAATTGTGCTCTGTGTGATGAAACTGTATGAGGGAGTGAATGTATAGCTCCACTCTTTCTGAACTTTGAGATTGCATGGAGGTGAAGGGTCAGTTCCATACCCTGACAACTTTCTTCAAGGGAAGCACCACAATACCCGTTGAATAGGAGACTGGCTACTGCTGTGTACCTAAGAGTTAGACTTTGCATTAAGACCCAAGAGGTTAAGATATGAATATAAAGTTATGTGATTTATTTTATTGACAGAACAGCACAAAATGTGTAAGTTCAGGTACTCGGCTGGCCCACGCCCGTCACGTTCATCAGGAAGTGTGCAGTATCTTGTTAGCATCATATGAGACGCTGCAGGCCCGACTGCAGGAGTACATGAAACTTCTACCTTCTTGGCAACAATTGAAGCTTGAAACTACCGACTGCTTCCAGAGGTTTAGCAACCTGAGTGACTTGGCAAAAGTGAGTACCACAGTTGTCTGGATGTGAGACACAATTTCTTTCCTCCATAATTTAGAATCTGAAAAATGAAAAATCTTCTAATTTAGAACTTGGAAGGAGAAAAAAATCTTCATTTTCTTCATGTAAGCCCACAAGGGCATGTGTTATTCTGTTTAAGTCACATATTGAATGTTATGTGGTAATGCACAGAGCACAGTATGGCTTTAACATTTACAATGTTAACTGTGGCACTGCTTTTAAACTTTGCACCCCAGTCTGTCTTGACTGATTTTGGATTCTAATGACAGTACAGTACATTTTCCAGTCATTAATTATGACTCCCATCCACTTCGTTTCCAGTATTGAAGACAGAGTTTCTCTTTTGTCTTCTCCGTCCATGCACACGTCCCCCGCTCCTCTCTCTCTCTCTCTCTGCAGCTATAAATTAACACCTTTGATGTTTACAGCAATCTATTCTTGTTTTGTAAGTTGGATCACAGTTGCTCAATGTTACCCACTAGAACTTGCTCATGTCACATCTCCCATAACTTGCATGATTTCATAACCCTTTCAGTGTTAGCGAAAATAATAGCAACACCTGTACATTAACAACCGGCTGTCATATATGAACATTACTGCAGACTGTAAGATATTTATACTCTGAAACTCATAATTTGTGTTTAGAACAGAAATTTCTTCATCTGAATATCTCTTATCAAGCTTTCCTTATTTTATGAGACGAGGTTATGGTATCATGATGTCTGTCTGCCCCCCCACAAATAATAACCTCTAAATCATTTAATAGATGGAACTTGATATGAATATCATACAATTAGAAATTTCCCCACATGTGCACTTTTTAATTTCAAAACATGAATAATTCCACCACTGTGAATGTACGATCTGCTCAGGTTGGAACAGCACTAGAGCACCTGAAATTTTGTTGCGTTCACTGCTTTTTAGATAAAGAAGAACAACCGGCTTAAATACATATTTATCACTTGATTTCACAAACAGCTGATGGGCCGCTGGAGGTAGACATGGAATTCAATCATACGCTTAACGGCAGATTTTGTATGTGTGAACAGTTTCATATGTCACAGTAGTACAGTTGAGTCTCTGTTTAGTTTACAGTAGTCAGAGTCTACATTGGTGAAAACTGGGAATAGAAACTGATCACTGAATTGTATAATTATCCAACATATGAGGTACTGCCAATGGCGATTAAAGAAAGGGTGTAGTTAATTAGCTTTTCTTTTTAATTAATTAAATAATCCTGAACGCTGGAGTAAATGATGATATTTACTTTGTGGAAGCAATTTGTTTTCATGGTTTTACAATTATGTACGTGGCTGGAACCTAGGATTTACAGGAAAATATTATGTAGAATAATGTATGTCCTACGCGTAGCTTGAATTTGAGTTCAAATAGGATTTAATTAGAAATGTATGGAAAAATAAAGTGATATAAAGGATCAGGTATAAGTAAATAATCAGAAAATATTGAAATACAGATCAGAATGTATAACATTTTAAATGTGACAAACCAAAGAAGCAGTGTGAATGATTGGGTTCGTTGTTTGTCTGTTGTGGAGGAGTGTCATCGTAACCTCCTGGCGACAGTTAATCATCGCTCTTCCAGCAACCATACAGAGGCTAACTGGGACAGATTAAGGGTAAAGTTTCCTGTACATCACCATTGTTCTTTGCATGGCATTCTGCTTCTTTGGAATGACACTTCCCTGATTATCCTTTCCCAAGTCATTGACTACTACTGATTTCATATTCAGTCTCATAGTTGATGTGAAATTTTATTTTAAGAATTTTGTTATAAAATATTTTGAATTTTGATTTGGCTGTGGCATGACCAAGGCAGTTACTTATTAGCTTCTCATCATGAAGGCCCAGATTCAATCCCAGGGTTGTCTGTGCGGGATTTGCAACAGACAGAGTGGCGCTGAGACAATGTTTACTTCGACCACTTCAATTTTCCCCTGATAATTATCATTCCACCATTGTTTCTTATCCATCGTTCATCATGGGCCAGTACAGTAGGTTTGTTTGAGATCACAGTACCAAGTAACTCTGTTTCAACCCCATCCCTACAGTTAGGTGAGCATTTATAAAAATGCTGCAGTGTGGAGTATACGTGTTTCATGTACCTGTAAAATTGAACTTTTTTTCTTTCCAAAATTGCAGGTAGGCTTTCTATGGGTTTTATTAATAACAAAAGTAGCCTAATTTTTTATTTAAACTGTTTATGTATTTATTAATTTAATCTTCATATAATGTCCATGTTTTTTTGTTCCCCCTCCTCCACGGTGCATCATCTTTTCTGTCTGTCAGTGTTGCTAGGCAGTGCTGCTGCTGATCAAATGGTACTTGCTGAACTGCGACAAAACTAATGCTTTCCCCTTTCACAGTGGATTTTTTTTAGCTGCTGCTATCCCTTTAGATTTTCTTAATAAATTTTACTTTCGTGTCATCTTTCATACATAAGATCAGAATGCATGAAATGTATAGAGTTTTTTAAAATAATTTTGCCTTTAAAAGTATGTGAATTACATGATTAAATACAGTATTAAGATTTGGGGCCCTCAAAGTGGTGACTATACAGAAACTTTTCTTCTGGCAAGTTATGCCGTGTAAACTGGAAGTTTACCTACTTTTTGGAGGAAAATACTGCTTCTATCTTCAAGGTTGAAGAGTCAGCCAGGCAAGCAAACAGAGTGAACTGCATGTTTCATGGCGTTTCTCTTACACCCTGATGATGGAGGCAGTATGTTCTTCCAAAATAACAGTAAGCTTCTACCAGACTACATGACATGACAGCCCAGAAGACTATACTCTTCAAATATGCTGTTAGATTGGCATGTTTACAGTGCCTTAAAATGTTGTTAGTTTCTGGTTTGTATTGCATTAGGAATGGCACATTTGTTTATTGTTATCCTGATTTATTTTTACAAAGTTTATGATGATCTTATTCTTAATTAATCAGTTCTAACCCAGAATTTGGTATAGAACTTTAATTTATTTTCTATAAGGTATATGTATTTTGTGTTGATTTTTCCCTCCCAAGAACATCATGAACATATATCTCTTTGTGTTAATCTGGTTTTGTTATGTATATTTTGCCAGTGGCAAAGAAATGAAATTATCTCCACCCCCCAATATAGTTAAAGACTCATTTTCATAGTGTAACTGTTGGCTTCTAGAGAGTGGTGTGGTTATATTGGGGGGAAGGAGGGTGATATCAGTTCAACCTGCAAGTTTAAGCTCCAAAACTTCTGAATTAATTTAGGCCAAATTTAGCAGTAGATTTTTATATCATTTTAGTTCATCTAGCTCCAAGTAAACCTCACAGTATGATAAGCTCAAATTGATCTTTATTGGCTTCTTCAAAAAGAAAACTGGTGTGGTATAGTGGCTGAAGTTCTTTATTAATGAAGCACAACACCATTAAGTGTGAGGTATAGCTCCACTTTTCTTGACCTCGACACTACATGGATAAAAGAAGCCATATAAGTTTCAGTAACCCTTTAAAGCATGGTGCTTTTCTGTATGTACAGCCTTGTTTAACATACAAATCCTGCATATTGCCAGAAGACTGGATTTATGAGTTGCATATGATGCTCAGTATAAACACCGATTCTTTCCAAACACTCATAATTAACAATTGGTCTTTGAGGTGAGGCTAAATTTTTAAATATTACTCAGATGAATTTCAGGTTTAAGTCTGCAACTCTTGTTTGAATCCTTTTTTATTGTATATATTTAACAAAATACAAAGATAAATAATTCCTGACTGTGTGTAATATGAAGATAGAATTCTGTCTGGAATGAATGAACATCAAGGTCAGTGATGTGTACAGAATTGCAGAGAAGGCATTTGGAAAATGTGTGTATGACATGTCAGGACATCTTTTTGGTCTTATTTTCATATGACTATAGTGACTTGGGATAATATCTAACGATAGGCTTTTGTGAACAGGGTAAAAGCTTTCAGAGTCCATAAAATAATGAGTTTCTTGAACAGTTGTGTAATTCTGAAATTTTCACATAGAGTGTTTAGTTAGTTAGATAGGTAGGTAGGTAGATAATCTGTTGGTCTGTCAGTCATTTAGTTAGTTTCCTCATTGCGGATTGCAGATGTTCTCATTGCATGCTAGATTTCTTAGACTGTCCATATTAATTACCTAGCAGACAGGTTTCTGCTGAATTCTGATCTCAAGTAATCACCTACAGCTCTGTTCATGTTCAGCTTCCCTCATACATAGGAATGTGACTGTTCAGCTTCCCTCATACATAGGAATGTGACTGCTTCTTGTATCCGTAAATGGTTGTCTGTAGATATTCTTAATTTCTGTGAGATTTCAGGTTCCCATTGCAGGTGTAAAGAGTAATGTTTTCTAGGATGTGATACTGTATAGTCCAGTAAAAGTTTACCAGCATTTGGAAGGATTGTACTGCTTCCATTTTGAGAGTCAAAGAATAAACGAAGCAAGCAAACAGGAAGGCACAAGTAGAGTAAGCTCTAACCCTGGACACAGAGGCATTGCATTCCTCCAAAACATCGGTAAACTTCTACCCGATATTAAAGCAACATATTCAAAAAGATGGTATTTTATATTCTTAAACTGTTCATGATCAACCAAAATAAGGTGTGATTGTAATTATTTGCTGTGACTGTTGTTGGCAGTTGGTTGAAGTCGAAGAAGAATTTGTGACTATGGCAAATAGTGACATAGCACAGCTGTGTGCTGAAAACATCTTACTCTGGCAGCAGTTCCTGGAGGCATTTTCTTGCAAGGATCCTGTTCACCAACATCTGGCACGCCATCACCACCATCTCAGGGTAAGACCAAATATCTACTATATTCTTCAATGACCAAAAAATGACATCATAGTTACATATTATCACGTGTAGGGTGGTACACATGATGAAAATGACGGGCTCTAGTTCGGAGGATTGGATTTATTAGCACTTCGGTTAGTCTCTCTTAATTTCAATTCATACAGCGCTGTCACTGATTTACACAATTTACAGTTCACCGTTGCACACACACTAGGATTCTCAGTCTTCACTAGTCGTCTCCTGGCAGCGGATCTCAACACAGAAACTAACACTTCAAGTCACGATGAAGTTTTCTTGTTATTTTGTCCTTAATCACTCTGTACTCCTCTGTCCTAATTTGTACTCAATCTTCACAGTTCACTAAGTACATGCTGCATTCTTGTCTTCATACTCTACACTGCTGAACCCTCTTGGACTCTCTTTAGCTGCAAGCAAACTCATGTTATATAGCTGCAACATGGACACCACAGAAAGCACAGTTCTATTGTTTTGTAGTGCAGACCACATAGAAATCAAGCCATGTGAGAGCTATCTCGCCAATCCATTGTCACGCTGACTGTTGCCTAAGAAAGAACTATAAATATTCGTCCTGTTATTTCATGCGTGTATCGCTGGGTGTTCATTGAGCCATTACCTGGAAATTTTGACATCTCACAATATATTAAATTGGCATGTATTTTGTCTGTTTCCAAATGTATTACATTTGGTGGCATATTCCTAAGGGAATGGTCAGATTCCCTTCTCATTCACAGTTAGTCTTTGCCACAGCGTCTGCTGTCATCATTAGCCTCATTGCATAATGGTATAAAGTTTTTCATGATACTCCTTACATCATTCAGGTAAATTAAGAAACAGTACCTCAAAGTAGGTCACGTGTCCTTCCCATGACATCATCCACAATCACCCTTCCATTTGATGCTATGTAACTTGTGATGCTGTGAGAAAATAATTAACTAAACTGAGGAAAACATGAAGATGCTCAAATCTAACAGACGATATGCAACAGATTATAGTATAATAGTACTTATAGAAGATTTTGAGTTTTATTTTAATATGAATATCTATAATTTTCATCGTCTACCTTCAAATCATTAGGTTTAATTAGTCAATTAGAGGCATTGCAAAGCAGAATATTCCCACCATTTCAAGTAGTCTGCTATTCATTTCCTTCCTCTGGATTGATATTTTACTTTTTCCTTCTTTACTTATCCTCCTTCTCCTCCTCCTCTCTTCTTTCACCTCCCACTGATACCCCTGGTCCTCCTCTGATTCTACCCCTCCTCTTCCTTCTCTCAGAACAGTTTCTTGTTTGCATTATAGATTGAATACTTAGTGCTTTTATATGCAAATAAAAATTTATAGTTAATTATAGTAATTAATAATATTAACTTCAGTAGTAATCTTCGTAGTTAATTCAGATCTCACGTAACTACAGTAGTTTCCCCTCATCAGAGTTGTTTACTTAAATATCTTCTTTCCAGTTTATTGTGTGAATCTGCTTCAAATATAATTAATACTGTACACAGAATTTGTGGGGGAACGCAGTAGCGTAGTGGTTAAGGCACTAAGCTACAAGTCGGAAGGTCGCGGGTTCCTCTATCTCTGATCTTCTGGGTGACTGTATAATGTAATGATGACCAGCATGTGAAGTCAAGGTAGCTTAGTCAACATAGTGACTGGATGGCTATTTCCATCACGGACATTATGAATGTTCTCTTCAGTACCATATTCATAACACATCTGGGGTTCACCCAACATCCTACGCAATGCTTACTGAGGCAAAGCAGTCGAAACCTGATGTTAATATCCCACCATGCAACTAATGCTGGAGTCTAGAATTCATGGAAAATTTACCTCCATGCCCTCTTGCCAGTCTCTGTGGTGTGCTACTGAGGCACACAAGGCCACATATACTTATTCCATAGGTGAAGAGGTTTGCTGAAGCATTCTTCGTGTTAGACAACCCCCGTCAGTCTGCAGCAGGGTGTTATGACGCCAACTATCAGAACTACTTGGCCGTGTCTGAGATGGTGCGCCGGTCTCGGTACCTCGCAACTCTACCTCCACTCCCTGTTCAGTGCAGTGATCTGGACGGGGATGTCACCACACTGCCCATCATCTTCGAAGACCAGTACCAGGATATGGCAGAATTTGCCCGCAGACGAAGTGTTGCAGGCCGAAAGGCAGGCAGTGGTAAGCTTCATCTTGCAGTATGCCTTTTTGTGCAGCATCTTTAGGCTATCCGACCTTACATTGCTTTAGTTTGATGAACAAATTTGGAAATTTTATAAAATCATCTCTGGAAATGAATCTGGAGTCAGACTCCAGTGTTTAGGGGACCTCTGCCTCAATCACCAGGAAATGATGTCATATGTTATATCATACAATATATAAGAAGTGTGTATGTATAATATGGGGCATGCAGTATCATAATTCGTTGAGGCACTGTACTACAAGCTGGAAGGTTGTCGGTTCGATTCCCATTGAGGTTATTGAATTTTTCAGTTGGCCTAATCCTTCAAGCTGCCTTTTAGACCGGTGTCAACTCAGCTTCTAACAGAAATGAGTACCAGGAATCTTCCTGGCGATATAGGGCAGCTGATGCATGTGGCTGAGAAATTCATGGCCATCTCCAAGCCAATTGTCTAGAAAACGAACCCTTATGATAGTAGTCCTTATATAGCATCTTCCCTGATAAGAAGATGGGTTTGTCTCTTAAGAATATGCTTGGCTTTTTGCCAAGTGTTTGTGTTACACATATTGCATGTTACTGAAAATTCTTCCTTTTGCACTGCACACAAATTCTCTTGTCAGTACAGGCTTTGCAAAGCCGATCATGTCCATGTTACATATCTTATGCTCAAGTCATCTTGGTCAAAGTCAGAGTCAAAGTTATGTTATGGCTGATGGTCAGTCTGCCAGTCTAACTTGGAATAAAGCACTCATCTGGGGCTTAAGACCAGATTTTTATTACTGTCAGACAGTTGCTGGTTTGCTGATATGGGGCACTATCTCTGACAAGAGGATGGTTCTGTCGTTTGCCAGAGTAAGTCTTCTTGGTGGCTGGTGTCCTCATTATATAACCTCAACATGGACTGTATAGAAAACATCACTTCTAAGAATTCCTGTATTGTCTAGTGATGTGCTATGCAGGCTGTTTCCTAGTGATTGTCCGGGTGTTTTTGTTGCCCTGGAAATGCATTTACTGGCCTTTGATTAATACTGGATGCCTTTCTTTCTTAAATTTATTCTGTCTTTCAGCTCTCATGTCACAATACTATAAAATGTTTTTATTTGTGTTTTTATTTAACCAGATCCTTTTTTGAGTAGTTCTGCGGACAACAAAACAGGAAGTCGTACAACACTGCCTCCACAGGAAGACTGTAGCTGCGGCATTGCTGCCATCTTAGAGTCGCGCTCTCATAAGATCCCAGCATCAGTGCGATCCAGTTCTAGTGCCATAGCTCCATCGTCCTCGCAGCCTATGCCAAAACCAGGCTCTGGACGACAGGCGAACATACACATGTCCATGGGTAAGTGGCATGAAACGGTTGCAGTAACCTGTAAAAAGCTCTGCAATCCAGAATCTTCCATTCTGTTCTTGTGAAGCCTGAAAGTCCATTATCACGTTGAAAAGATCCAACGTTGGATGCTATTCTGAGCCAGTTGTATTGAGTCCTCACCTTCACATCCTATTTCTCTAAGAGCCTTTTTAATGTTATCTTCCTATATAGCAATGTATCTCCTGAGTGTTCTCCTCATATGAGGTTAAATATGAAAAGTTAGTATATATTTCTCATTTCCCAAATTTTACTAAATGTTCCATCCATCTCATCGCTGATTTAATCATCCAGTGACCCTTCTTAAAAATGTTACATCTATCACTTATATTTTTCTTTATATTTTGCTCTTTTTTATTGAAATCTATATAACAGTACTTATTTATGTCTATCTAGTGTCAAGACTCCCTTATTTTCATGGAATGTTACTTAGTTAAGTACAGATACAACCCTTATAACAGCACTTAAATTGAGATCACAATGAAAAATTATCATCTTCAGTTCTCCCCATTGCAAAGTTCAGCCCCTAAGACTCCTGACTTTATTAAAAAATACCTACCTTGAATATCATTAAAGTTACTAGCTATTCTGACATGTCTCTTACGACTTCCTCACATGAGTGATAGGATATCATGAAACAGACCATGACAGATTCCTTTGTAATCCTAACTCACCACTTCTGGTCATCACATCACGTCATTCAACACTGTATGACGTCTTCAGTTGAAGTATCACTTTTAAATAACCAACGAGTCACTCCGATGTTATTTTGTTTGTAGGAATGCTGGGTGTGAATGAACAGCATGTCCTACATGCAGGGGATGTACTGAAGGCAACACTGACGCTGGCACCTCATGCTGGCCGTCGCCTGAACCGCCATCATTACCTTAATGCCCCAGCATCGGCCACAGCAACATTACTGCTTCATGGAAGTAAAGGGATGGACAGTGATAGTGTGACCAAGTCATCACTTCCTGCACGGCACAGCAAATCTCTGGACCAGTTACGTACTACTGGCGTTGCTGCTTCAGAACCTGAACCAATCCCCAGACCCTTCATCTCCACATGCCACTCCCAGCCACAATCTGTAACTCCGACAGCATCATCTTCAGCACCTAACCCCTCCCTTGGCATCCCACATATGTCAAGCATAACACGTTCCTCTTCCACACAGATACGCCGTGAAAAGAGTGTCGATTGTCTGAAACCTGGTGTCAGTATGACCGCTACAGTGGTTTCATCAGCCACTCTACCTTTACCTCACCCTCCACCTCTCATACCTGCTCCAGTTCGCAACAATCTCAAAGAGAAATTGAAGAACAGTCTGCGATTAGAGCTTAAAGTAGCCAATGGTAACGGTGGTGCCTGTACATCTCCGTCTACTGACTCAGGGGACTCTTTGGCAGTTGGATACCGTCGACTGGAACAGAGTGCCAGCGTACCATTCAACCTGAGCGAGGCCATTAATGGCAGAATGTCTCCCAATACAACAATGAAACATTCACAAAGTACCATGTCCATGCCAAGTGTGGCAGTGCTTCAGCGTGAGTGCCATGCTGGCGAGTCTTCCGAAGCCCTTCTTGGTGGTTCGCGTTCTATAGGTGCCAACAGTAGTGAGTCTATGCCAAACCTTGTGGCACCACTTGCTTCCCCTCCTCCGCCCATCATCGTTCCGCCTCCTGTCACAAAGACCCAGGTAGATGAGCCCCCATTAGATCTGGTAGTTACAGAAGGGGGCCCAGTCCCACCTCCTGGTGAGTTGAGCAAACTGGAAGTTGGTCTTTACAGTTCAGTTGATCCAGCCATGATTTCTGTAGAGTCAAGCCTAGCAGAGCCCCTCACTGTGGCCACTACTGTAACAGTGAAATCCAAGTCTCAGTCACCAGGCAGGTCACTTTCCTCTCCACCCTCATCATCCCTTTCAGACATCACTTCAGAACAGAGTGGTTGGGTCTCCAACTCCAGCCGCCGCACCTCAGGTGACATGTCTAGTGGTCAGCTAAGTCCAGATGGCAGTGACTTTGGCATCAGGCTGCGTGGAGACCGGCACCCAGCCATGCCAGCTTCAAAACAACAGCATCGAATCTTGAATGGTGAACAGCTCCGAGCAAGGCTGCAGAAACTGGTGGAACCTCCCCCTGTCATGCCAGAACCTGAAGTGATAGACCACCCCTATGAAGAACTACGGTTACCCCCGCCAAAGCAATTCCGTGATGACCCTCTGCCTCCAGAACCCTTCAGGGATCCACCTGTACCCCCACCAAGACCCACAGTTCCTCTAGTGGCACCCAAACCCAAGCCAAAAATTTCTCCTCCCACCCCAATAGACAATCTGTTGTACCATGTGTATGAAAGTGTGAAGGAAGTGGAGAGGAAGCCGCTAATTGAACCCAGTCCTCGAACTGCTCGTGAACTTGATAGAAATAGAGACTGGGACAAAGAAAAAGGCAGGCCTCTGAGAGCTAAAGACACTCAGTCTCAAACTGGTGGTTCCAACTTGGCAAAATTGGACAACAGTGAGCATGTCAAGAAAACACCATCACCCAAGTGAGTTCTAGCAGAAATACATCTGAAATCTACTAGTTGGTTACTAAAATCCACTTGATCTTGTGCTTTATTATATTAATAAATGTTTTTAACTGCAGTATTTAAGTACTGAAAATTGTATATGAGACAAACTCCGTCTTAAGTGAAACAATTTAATTGTAGTTCTTTTTGTTCCCTTCCTCCGCACTACATGTTTCGGCCCTAAATGGCCATCATCAGGCGTGTATTCTTTACGTACCTGCTACACTGCCTGTAGTTTAAAATTTAAAATCACCAGTCTTTCCAATTGTATGTATGTATAAAATCTTTGTTAACCTACACGCGTCAATTTGATTTCTAAAATTGGCACTTTTTTTAATTTTTAAAAATTTGGAAAAAGAAAAAGAACAGAAAATTTATAGACATTTTAATTTGAATTGAAGTTTTAAAAAAGTGCCAATTTTAGAAATCAAATTGACGCGTGTAGGTTAACAAAGATTTTATACATACATACAATTGGAAAGACTGGTGATTTTAAATTTTAAACTACGGGCAGTGTAGCAACTACGTAAGAATACACACCTGATGATGGCCATTTAGGGCCGAAACATGTAGTGTGGAGGAAAGGAAGAAGAAAGAACTACAATTAAATTGTTGCACTTAAGACGGAGTTTGTCTCATATATATTGTGTGAGTGTAACAGGATGCTTAAATATAATACTGAAAATTGACTGTCAAGCTCAAGAAACAGAAGTAATAACACATTGTTTAATATTCGTTCAGCACCTGATAATATGGTAGTACCTTTACCTTTACAAGGGCTTGCTTACACAAGTTATACCAACATTACAGTTAGCTCCACTATTTCTTCATACAGGGGGAATGCAGTAGCATAGTTGATTAAGACATTAAGCTACAAGCTGAAAGGTCACAGGTTCGAATCCTGATAAGGTGGATTTTTTTCAATTCACCTAATCCTTCCAGCTGCACTATGGCCCTGGAGTCACCTCAGCCTCTAACAGAAATGAGCACCAGGAATCTTCCTGGGGGTAAAGGGTGGCCGGCACATAAGGCTGACAACCTTACCGCCACTTGTGAGTCAATTGTCTAGGCAATGTGGAACCGTTAACATCTCCTAACTCTGTGGCCCTCCATGGCCTGTTACGGGGATAGCTTTACCTTTTTTTTCTTACCTTTATTTCTTCATAAATCCTTCTTTCTGTCTTTCTCAGGTGCTGTGTTTAATGCTTAGCTCATAGTACAACTAGCTACAGCTTCAAATGGAATAAAATCATACATACCGTCAGACTGAGCTGGTTAATGTAGCAATATCTGGCCATGCCATAGCTCAGGCAGTTAATCACTGCTTTCCCACTGTGGTGTTGCAGGTTTGATCCCAGATCAAATCATGTGAGATTTGTTGTGGACAAAGTGGCACTGGGTTTTCTCCGAATACTTCGGTTTCCCCTGCCAGTTCTCATTCCACCAAATGCTCCATACTCATCCATTATCCAGGGCTGGTACAGTATTCCCTCTAGTGACCAACATACAAAGTGAAGTCAGTGTCACTCCACCCCACGTGAATTAAAAAAAGAATTAACAGGAATATAACATCTACAGTTAAATGAATATGAGAAATATAGTTCATAATTTTTGAGGCAGGAACAAGCCAGAGATGTTAAAATAAGATTAAAATTTAAGGAATTACCTGTAGCCACAACAGTTCTGTTATTAGTAGATCCTAAAAGGTGTATAATACTCAGAATTACTGGGTTTTTGGACTTTGTTCATCGTCCAATATTCTAGACACTAGAAGACACTAGGTCCAGTGATTGAGGTTAGCTCTTTCTAAGGGACCAACAGAATAGGTACCATCTCCTTCCTTCACCTGGTGACAGAAACAGACTCAGTTTCTGAAACACTGTGTTTTCTGGTTTGTAGAATACTGGACATTGGACAATGGACAAAGTCCAAAAACCCAGTAATTATGAATTTTGTTATTGTTTTAAAATTCCATACGTGTTCTTCAGAAAAGGTGTGCCATCTCACTGGCTAAAAGATTCTGATTTTTCAAGTATGAAAGTTGTCACATGTTTTACAGGGTTATAGATGGTCAGCAGTGCATCTGTCCCAGTGGTACCTCCCCTCCTGTATCCACAGCAACAGCTGCTACACCAGCAGCCTCAGAGAGAGAGCTGTCATGTGACTGCTGTAATAACAAGGATGGAGAGGAACACTTGCGACAGAAACTAGTTCAAGCTGTTGGAGATGACACCCTCAGTTTTATCAAATCAAAGGAGGAGTTCAAACGCCAAATGAACTTCACAGGAATGATATACAGGTTAGTTCAGTAGCTAGAATATCATAAAGGTATTTCATGTTTCAATGTTCAGGTTCAGAGATTATGTTTCATACCCATACAAATAATCAGTTATAATTAAGGTTTCATATCTTTTAATCTCTAGGCTTATATATAGGTAGGTTACGGGAAAATATAAGTTGCTATATTCCTTTTTCTTCTGTTGCATCACAGAAACGATGAAATGTATTTTCTAGTTGAAGAGTACAATCTTTGTGGTTGTAATGCCTTGTAGTTCAGAAAAAGTCTAACATGTTGAAGGAATGTATCTCCTCCGTCTTCATGGCTAAGCAAGAAATCAGAAAGAAGTGGGTTCCTTGCTTGGCTTACTCACTGATCCTGAAGATGGATGTGGTACATACCTCTGAAACACCAGACTTCTTCCGGACTGTACAACAATACCACTCAGAAAACTATACTTCTCGCAGTCACTGCCATGAGAACATAGTAGCTCAAAACCAGAAATATGGAGTCACTAGAGGCAGTCATTATAAGGCAGTGGCGTGGTGAACACATTTCCGTGGCAAACATATTGGCACAACAATTGAGGATGCAGTGTTTTCTGTGCTGTCCGCACCAAGTCTGTATGGCAAGAACCAGCAGTACGGTTGGCTGAGAGAGTTGCCTGTGTGAAGGCGGGTTCGAATATCTCCACCCTAGCCCTGAGAGTTGTAGGAGGTGACAAAAAGGGAACCCAGTGCCTGGGGATATAACTGGGCCACCCTATCCTTGGGGGATATAAATACAGGGACCTGGCTGTCCAGGTTGGGGGACTCTCAAATCTGAGACCATAGAATGTGGTCATGAGTCTCAGAGGACTCAGACCTGACAATGACTATGCTGGCGAGGGTCAACAGCGATTGTAAACAATGGACCCCACTTCTCATCAGAGAGGGCATCCAACATCAGCAAACCAGCAACTGTCTGGCAGTAAGAAAACCCTGTTCTTGGGCCCCAGATGGGGCTTTACATGAAGACAGATTGACCAACTGATAATCACTCATAACATAGCTTCGATTTGGTTGGCCATGAGGAATTTTCACTGTTAGCAGCCACTATGTAGCAGCGACTAGTATGAGGACATGGCAAAATGAGTAAACTTTGCATGTGCCATAGTTATAGTGATTTATAAAGTATGAGACCATTTTAACATATGTAGTTACAAGTTATGAGTACCAAATAAATCCAATTATCCATCCAAACTCCATCTCCAGCCACTAACGCGTGACAGTATTTTCTAGTCTTTTGATAAGGTTGCTTGGTTTGTGCAGTGACTTCCCTACATTGGCATCAACACTGCCATACTTCCACATCAGCGATGAGTACCGCATTTTCTCACCAGAGGGTTTGCACCTCATTGTATGTGTTCATGGCCTAGATGGAAACTCTGCAGACTTGCGCCTGGTGAAAACATACCTGGAATTGGGACTTCCTGGTGCCAACTTGGAATTTCTCATGTCAGAGCGGAACCAGGTAGCCGCCCCTACTCCCACTTGTTCTTCACCATAACACGTGCTTTAAAAATTGTTTCCTGTGATGAAATTGCTTGTAGTTCCAAATCTAGGTGTTCAGTGGTTGTTGTAGTATTTAAACCAGAAACCCTAATTTAATGTTCCATGAACTGAGGTTTTCCTTAGTTAAAGTTGAGTGACAGTGATCCCAAGTGAATAGTCTAAATGTTGAGGTTCCACCAAGTTCTACTTGTCAAATCTACTGATTCCCTTAAAAATATTTAAATAGTAGTTTGTTTGCAATTGATATTGATGACTGAAGATTTGTTTCATATGTGTTCAGTGATGAAGTTAATCAGTACATTTGTATGAACAATATTAATTTAATATATAAATATTATTTCATATGGATAGTAATCAGAAATACATGTATTTTTATTGAGTATGCCATTCTGCTATCATTAATAAAACTGTCTGGCAGTTATCACATAGCATGTGACACAAGGCTATGTAATAAGTTCATTACTAAAATTATGAAGAATGTGCTGTTCATAATTTTGATTGAGATGTCAATGTTTGAGTTTTACAGACATTGAATTTTAAGTTCAGATGGTTTCACAGTCTCACGTATAGCGCGTCTTTCTATAAAACTTACTAAAAGTTGTTCATTTTACAACTTGTACATGTCATGTAGATGTACTGGATAACTTTTAATAAGTTAAAACCTATATGACATAAAACTTCTAAAGTGAATAACTTTTAGTAAGTTTCATAGAAAGATGTGCTGCACGTGAGACTGTGGAACCATTTGATACCAAACGAAGTGCAGCAGGATGCTAAAATGTTGTAGTATTTTTGTTATAACAGCCACTACATCAGATTTTACGGGACAGCTTTGCTACTTAGATGGGTAACACAGTGTGTTTACACCAACAGGGCGATACATTCTCAGACTTCGATACCATGACAGACAGGCTGGTGGCAGAGATCCTGTACCATGTGGAGGCATGTGGGCTCAACCCGTCCAAGATCAGCTTCATCGGTCACTCACTGGGCAACATCATCATTCGTTCAGCCATCACGAGGCCGCAGATGAAACACCTGCTTCCACGCTTGCACACCTTCCTGTCTCTATCTGGGCCTCACCTTGGCACTCTCTACAACAACAGCGGCCTTGTGAACATGGGTAGTGCTTTATGTTCAGACCCATTTTTAACCCACTGTCACTGTTCTGATTGTCAGTAGAGTACAAGTTCAGTGATGACACCTAAAGAGAAAAAATATTTTACTTTCTTGTTGACATGCTTGATTTTTTTAGAATGTATCATTCAATTTGGTCCCCTTGTGCAGTGCAACAGAAATATCTTGCTCATTTAGCACGAGCAAATTAATAGGCACTTTTGGCATGTACATTTTTGACATGTATTAAAATGTAACAAAACACAGTCTGCCTTGTGAGATTTCAGATTCCCATGACCGTTAATCTAAAGATTGATGACTTCTGAGGTGTAACATCTCGTAATCTGGTAGAAAGTTACCTGTATTTTGAAGGAACTTTCTCTCTTCATCTTCAAATTGAATGGAGGCATAGGGTTACTCCAAAACATTGATAACTTTCTGCCACTCTGTATGGTATCAAATCCCACAATACATTAACCATTAGTCTTCCCTTTTACTAAAATTTATACAGTGCTGAACAAGCTGTGTGCCTTTAACCAGAATAAAAATATTTATAGGAAGTTTAATGCAAGTGGCTGGTAGATTTAAGTTGTGTTTCTATAGACCTCATCTTTAGAACCAAAGATTTCCCTTTTGCTCAGGAATGTGGTTCATGCAGAAGTGGAAGAAGTCAGGGTCTCTTCTGCAGCTGGCACTGCGTGATGCCACAGATGTACGGCAGACGTTCCTGTATCGTTTGAGCCAGCGTTCCAATCTTCATCACTTTCGAAATCTGTTGCTATGTGGATCATCTCAGGATCGCTATGTTCCTCTTCACTCAGCCCGAATTGAGTTATGCAAAGCTGCTGTTAAGGATACTTCTGTACAAGGTATGACTACTGGATAGCAAAATCAGAACATTGAAATAAATGTCATGATAGATACCAGAGCAAGTGTTGTGGTCCATCATATGTGCAAGCTGCAACTCTCTTGAAAGCCAACTGAAAGACAGTAAACTGATTAAAAAAAGATGGATAAGACAAAAAGTGTTAATCATTTTATATCTGTAATGAATTAAGTTAAGAATATTGAGGAATACAAATGTGCAAAAAAAAAAAATCAGAAAAATATGCATCCTCCATTTGAACACATTTTCTCCCTCTTCTGTTATAGGTTCAGCATATCGAGAAATGGTTCACAACATCCTGTATCCTATCATAAGCAAGCCAGAAATAACATTTGTGCGTTACGATGTGCACCATGCACTCCCCAATACAGCAAACTCACTCATTGGGCGGGCAGCACATATTGCTGTCTTGGATTCTGAACTCTTCATTGAGAAGTTCCTTGTTGTCACTGGTCTCAAATACTTCAGATGAGGTCACCACTCTGTGTTATCCAGCCCTGGAGTGACATTGATCAATCAGGCTACCTGCTGTGAGCGCGAGTTGATGACCGTAGGTATATGATTGTGCATGAATTTTATTTTTTGGAAGTGAGAGATTTGTGAATTTTCATGAGAAAAGATGATATTGATACATGACAGTTGATACCCATTTTTTGTTGCATTTTAGTTTATTGAATGCAGTAGAAGACATGTTTTCATCTTGCCTTCTGCAGTGATGTAGGTACCCAAGTTATGATAGATTTAATGAAAACATATAACATACAGGGTGCCTGCAGAAGCCAACATATGCAACATAATTTAAAGTAACTTAGAATTATCAGATTTACATAGTAATAATGTTGCATTCTGACCATTCCCAACTTGAAACTCAGATCTCAGGCTACTGCCTGTCATGAATGATTTGCCTGTTAATGAAGAAAGTTGTCTTCTGGGTTTAGGCACCGTGTATTCTTCGTTTTGGCCGACGTTTCGGCAGTAGCAGTAGCTACTGCTATCCGCAGCTATTCAACTGCTCTGAAGATGGAGGCGCTATGTTCCTCCGAAACGTCGGCCAAAACGAAGAATACACGGTGCCTAAACCCAGAAGACAACTTTCTTCATTGTTATCGCCGTGAAAACCTCAAAACTTACACAGATTTGCCTGTTGTTCCACTTCAATTAAATTACATGCTGTTATGATACCTTCAAATACTGTAGCACAGACACTGTCCTTCCAAATCCTTACATACAATTTATCACCATTTTCTTATATCAATTTATGCTGTATAACTTAGTTCAAACATTGTCATAGGCTTGTATTATGGTTTTCCTTTGCCAAATCCCAGTTACATGACCAGCCATTCTGAGGTGATTTTCCTAATTTTCCTCAACTCCTCCACTACCTTCATAATACCTGCAAAGAGACTATGATTCCTGCCTTACACACAGCTTTCTATCCCAATAATCAAGATTGGCACTATTTAACGAGCCCAACTGAGTAAGAACCTTTCCTCCCATATAACTGATGACAGAAATTGATTCAGTTTCAAAAACATAGTGTTTGAAAAAACTCAGGACACTGGACAGAGTCCAAAATAATAGTCATATTTAAAAGAAATTTGCAGCAAAATCTTTGATTAGATTAAAAAAAGTCATAAAAGATGCACTTTTATACGGCTCTATACCATGACTAATATTGTCAGTAACATGCTTAGTCTCGTGTCACAGGCAAGTACAGGCACCTAATATGTTATATAAGATGGTTTCAATTTCCATGGTGGTATTTGTTATTTTTCCTGATGGTTTTAATAGAGACAAGATAAAGACATTGTTTTGATTGGTGTAATGGACCCTCCAGCACTGACTGGAGTGAATCGTTAGCATCCTCAAGTCAAGGCTCAAACACGACTACGCTTGAATTCTTGTTGTGCCGTGCCGACATGAACACCACAATGACATCCTGCAGGGATGTCGCACTTTCACTTCAGTCGACGTCACACACTTCATCGTATATATAATTAGGTATCACTCTCTATACCATATTAGCATCTCTTTATGAAATGAACCTTCCTAAACCATTCCATGTTCTCGTCTGTCTTTTGAACAGAAGTAGAGAGTGTTTAAATTTCACTGATGTGTCGGTCAGTCTGAAGGAACATTGGGTTGTTTTGTTCCATTGACTTTATAGTCTGACCTGAAACAGCGTTGCAGATGTCAAATAATTAATTATTTTATGGATGAAAACAAATGAGTGAGCCATCAGTTATTATTTTTTTATTCTCCTGAAACAGTTGAATATAACCAAAATACGATGTCAATTTCTTTGCTCACATGTTTATTCCATAACAAAGACATCAGTGGTCCTCAATTATCATTGCGGTATGGACCAAAATAAAAATTTTACTGTGAAAGAAATTTCCTGTTGACTGTCATATTTATCACATCTATGTAAGTGTTGGTTCTGTTGTTCGTAATTTATTAAACTTGTACTCGGTGATATATTGACAGGAAGAAACTGCCATAATTCAGGCGTAGACTCCCTCCACACCAGGCATTCTACATGTAATCTATTGCTCAGAACAATCTTGGACGGACAGACAGACAGATATGGTGTCAGGGGTAGTCCAGGGTTACACTTCCTGTAAACATAAATTAGCAATCCATCCATGCCACATTAACCACGTTTTTTCCTTGGTGTGTGTTATTTACAAAATAATTGGAGGCTTCCATGGCAGGTTTCCAATGAGAGCATCTTTATGGCTTTTGTTACATTGTCACGTGTGCCGATGTGTAAGATGTCTGTGCAAGAAAGTGTTAAATGCCAGCAGTCTCATCTCGTCCTTCTTTAACCTCTTTGCTTATTCACATAATGTTACTGATCTAAGCATTTGCATCTACTGTTATCTACATGTTGCTTCCATCAAATTACATGATTTCTTTAAGTGAAGATATCTTATAACCCCTTGAAGAAATAAGTATTAGATGTCAGTTAACTGACTGACCCCATGGAACCAAATCCTTCTTGAGAAGCTGCCAATCACTCAGCTGCTCAAGAATTTCCCAACATGTTGTGCAACCCAAAGGTTCTTTACCATGTTCTTAAAAACCTGCCACTGGTCCCTATCTTAAACCACATGAATTCAGCCCATACCACCCCATCCTTTCTCTAAGATCCATTTTAATATCATGCTCCCACCTACATCTAGGTCTGTTTCCTTATGGCTCTCCCACCAAAACCTTGTATGCATTTCTCTTCCCTCCCATATGTGATGCATGCCGTGCCCATCTTATTCTCCTTAACTTGATCATTCTAATTATTTTTTATGAAGAAAACAAGTTATGAAGCGGTAGGAAATCGAGCTACACATGACATTATACATTTCGAGAACTTTGCAGTAGTCTGTTTAAATAAGATTGAAAACTTTGTAGTTCAAAATGTAGTCAAAAGATGTTAGAAGATGATGATTTGTAGTTTATACTAAGTTCCATAGAGGGAAAATGGGGAATTATTTTTTTAATCTTAACATTAAGTATTTGCATCATTGTCTTGGAAGGTACATATATCAGATGCAGAAAGTTTCATCATGTTCACAAAATTAACCACAAAGAAAGTAAGCTGTTCAGAATTTAACTGAAGGAATTTGCAAGGTATCTGAAATATTTGTATTATGTGTTACTGGAACCTTAAAGATGCTCTCAATAAAATAAGAGGGAACTGTTATTTTCGATATGTTATAATTGTATGATACTGCTGTAGTCATATAAATGCAAGGGGAGCTTTGAAGTATGTACTGGTGTGTGCTAGGATTCCCTGTAAGAAAGATGAGGTGTGATAGGTTCAGTATTATTCCCAATGCTTCAGCAATGAGGCTGTTCATGTACAAACTTACTGCAGAGATGATAGATGAGACTGCAAGATGCCATAGTACAGTGGTCCTTACATAAAAAAATTCAAGATTCCTAGCTGACAGCTGCAGGATAAATAAATATGGATATTCTGTAACTGACAAACTTATGTATACTGTTATAATTACACCACACAATAAATTTTCACCTTTTTTTTTTTAAATAAAATATATGAAATAAGCTATTTTTGGCTAAATTTGGTATGCTGAGCTTCAAAGTGACAGTCAGAAAAACGTGATGTGGACAGTTCTTTTTGTTGTATAGGGTTTATAATGTTAAGTATATTGTTTTTGGTACCAGCAGGAATGTAATGGCCGCTGTTATGAGATCTTACATTTTACACCAAACTTCCTCACTAGATGTCATCATTGTGAGAACTTTGAAATCATCTTAGTAGGCTTGTTTCCCAGGATGACAGAGCATGGAAGTTTTATCTACTGAATCCAAAGGTGGCATTTCTTTGTATGAGTAAGTTGAAGTGATAGAAGATATGAAAGATGTGTGATGTAGCAGTGCTTTCCTACAGAATTGTCTGTACTCTGAATTTCTCTTATATTTTATTGACTTACGTTGCTAGGCCTAAATCAAACCAACAACAACAACAACACATCATCATTATACACATGCCTGATGAATAAATCTTCCAGTTACGTACAAAGTTTGTTTTGTTTAGATTAGTAATTCATGCATATTAACCCTTTCAGTGTTTTATACAAGGATTTATTTCGTGTTTGAGAAGGTCAGTGAAGTAAACATAACCTGCCTTCTGTGAACATTTAAAGCAATTGTATAGGATTTGCAGCTGTTACACCTGTCGTTATGAAGAGTGGGATATAATGCTGTGTTGCTCTGTGTGCCTGCTGCTTGCCTCATGCTGATTCCTTGTTTGGCTTATTCCTCAACTCTGTAGATGGAGGCAACATATTCCTCTGGAATATTGGTTGACTTTCAACAGACTACACGGCATCATGTCCCAGAAGATAGAACTGTTGGTGTCCTTTCAGCAGTAGAAACGATACTGTTCTTGTGGGTTATTTAGTGACACTTTCAGTCTTGTGATTGTAGAGCAATGAATGCTAGGATGATGAATTGGACAGGTTTGGGAAGGAAAGAGTTGTGGTCTGATAGAGGTTTTATCCAGCAGTTGCTTGGAAGGACTTGGCCCAAGCCAAGGTTCAAATTAAGGACCTCTCAAACACAAGTCTAGAGTGTTACCTCTCGATCAGCCTGTTCAGTGAAATGACACGTTAGCATGTGAGTGTCATTTTTAATTAAAAAAAAAAAGCATTGAAAGGGTTAACATGAGGTATTTAACCTAGTTTCAGTCATTTTTACATTCTTTGATATATAAAATTTGTTATCTATTTAGGCAATCCTTAAGAATGAATGTAGTAATGTACTTAAATTGAAAGGTTTAAAAATAAGATGATGATGATGATTACAAAGTTCGCTATGCTGCAGGTGCAGAAGTAAATTTTAGGCAAACTATCATCAAAAACTTAGATAGATATTCTTTCCAAAATCATTTCTCTCTTTTTGTTTTTGTTCAAAGGCATTGCTGTGATATTTATTTTAATTTTTTATTTGCGCCCTACACTGTATTCAATGACCTGGCTTGTTCTAAAGAAAGAGACTTCCATCTTTGGTAGCAAGTTAGAAAACTTTGGACATTGTCAGTACGTCTGTTCCCTGATTCAGCTACACTAGCATTTTATCAATTGATTCATCATCATGAAACTTCTTGTGAACATCATACCTCCATCTTCTCACCGTTATACTTACTAACTCCCTTAAAAGACATGCTAAGTTGCCAAGTGCCAGATCAGAGTTGAAGCTCCCAGCATAAAAGCCAAGAATATGATAGTGTGCTTCCTGTTAAGGGGTATTACACAACTTTAGGGCAGTGATACATGAGTTTGGAGCAATGCTAAAGTGATGACAGGTGATGAAAAATCAAAAACACTTGAAAAGAAATCTGTTTCAGTACCATTTCATCCCCCATGAATCTCACATGAATTCACCTGGGATTGAACTGAAGTTCTGCAGTGAGAAGCCATTGTCTAATAATCTGAGTTATTGCTCAGCTCATAAAATT